TTCATTTGGTTCTATTTCATTGACTTACGCCACATGTTGCAAAGAACAGTTCTATCAAAGTGACGTAAGTCTTGACTTGCGCCACTTCTATTGAATAGACTGGTCTAGCAAAGTGACGTAAGTCACCTATCAGCTCAAATAATTATGGTACAACAAAAATAATTTTTGGGGTGTATTTGTGACATGCTAAAAAGGGTTTATTCACCTCTCATATACAATAGTAGGGCAACCAGATTATAGGAATCATTTTATTCATTTCCTGAAAAAAAATATTTTGTGACTTACGTCACTTCTATGGAATGCCACAGAAGTGGCCCTGCTATCCTGGGATCTGTACGGATCTGCTCGGGGACATCCCAAGTTTCCTTAAAGTCTCGTGTCCTTCGGACTGACCGTTCCGCTTCCAGAAATAAAAAAGGGTCACAACGTTCTAAAATCACTCGGGTGTAAATCTACTCTGCCACCGAACTGTCATAGGGTAGCGTCCGTATCCTAAGCGTCCCAGCACAACCCAATCTTTATTGCGAAAGCCACAAAGTCTAGTTCAATTTAGCAATTAACTGACTACTAGGGTATGGGTGGCGTGGCAGGATTCGCCTCAACCGATTAGCTGCCAACAAGTGACGACGGGGTGGGAAACGTTTTAGAGAAGCCTCATGGGACGCGAACATTGTTCTTTTAGATTGACAGTGGGGTAGCCGAGACGACGCAATTGGCGATGCTCCACGCGAACCTCAAGGAAACTGTGCAGCTGCTGGATGAAATGCTGGGATGGCTCTACCCTCACTTTCTCTTCGCTGGAACTGCTATGCCTCTGGTAATATGAACCACGGCACCCTAACACTACAACTAGTGGCCAAAATTTGTGAGTGTCCCCATGCACACCAGGAAATTCAGAGACATGTTCTCCCGTCGTTCATTTACCAATCTGAAGCTGGACCTATATCTGCCTGCAAGACAGACTTGGTCAAGCGCACGGTGAAAACAAGCCCTGGGGGGATACCCAGATGTTTTCCTCATTTTTACGGTAGTAAAAAGAGTCCCAGGAGCCGTTCTGTGTGCTTATACCTGAAGTGATCAAATGAGAAACGGACGAAGTCACAGCTTGCGTTTAAACCTTTATGGGTAGGTTAATCTGGCTAAAAAAAACGAAAACCATTTTTTTATGATTTTCCCCGGAAATGAGGAATGAAATAAGAAAGAGGTAAAATAAGCGGCCAGCAGTGCGTCCCCCTCGCCTTTTTTCTGTCACTGTCGCCAAACTGCTCGTCTCAGCACAAATCGGAAGGTAGCGCTGGAAAGTGTATGAAATTTCCTACAAGGTGATTATTTTTACCATTTTTACCAGATCTAAAGTACATTTGAAAGTACCGATTGAAACATTCAAAACGACATCAAATGTGCAATCGTGGATCAATATTTGAGTCAGTCCTTCAAGAAGACACGTGCTATAAACCAGGGACGTGTTTTCTGATACTCCTGCCTATATCAAAAATGTAGTGACTTTCGACGTGAATCGGGGCCGCCTTCTGCTCGTCCGCCATGACACGAGTGGTCGTCGCCAAGCCAGGCCTGCGCACGAGGCTAAACACGCTGCGCCGGCTGTTGATAAACAACACAATAGGCTTCTTACAGTAAACGTTAAAATAACTTTCTTGCTGTTGCATTTGTGTGTTGGTCGGATTTAAAACAAATATATTTCTAATTATTTGGTGGTGAATTTCGTTTTCCGTGATGGTCTCTTTCAGTTGGCTCTTTTTTATCGTCTAAAGTAAGTTGTAATGCCAAGTTGCGGTTATGTTTCCCTGTGTACGTTTGGTAGAAGTTTTAACAATATTCTTTCAGAATGTCATTGTTAATTTGTACGTATTGCTCTAGACTTTTCCATATTTCGATTTTTCCTGACTGTGTGTTCGGGTGCAGTGAATGTGTGAACCGGTGATAATACCAACAATCTACTGACTTGTAGGTACCTTTGTAATGATGCTATATAGTTTTCTGTGACGAAGCTTGAAGTTATGCCCTAATTCATTCACTTACATTTCTCTGTTCATAAGGTTTATACTATGTCAACTGTGTGCTCTATTGGGAAAGCTGCTGTGGACAACATTGTTTGTATTGAAAATGACTACCCACGAGATAAACTTACTCCAGAACAGTTGCGTTTGCTTCGTTTAAGGACCGGCTCTATGAGGAGGGTAAGTGTCATCTGCAAGGCTCATGCTATAAACTATCTTTGGTCGTATGCAGCTAAGCAGGACCAAAGCTGTGTTTCAAACCATATCAAAAAAAACAATGTGAGTATAAACTAGCAAACAACAGGGAAGCAACAGCAGCAACCACAACAGCAAAGTTGTGGTTACATACTTTTGTTTCACATATACGTATTAATGCAAATTCTTTTTTTTTTCAGGTGATACGAAGCGGAATAGAGTTTGAAATCAAGTTGGACCACAAAGATGAGGCAAAACTACTCGATCTTAATCCTTCATTAGACCTTATTATGGGGAAGAGACTGTATGTCATGCAAAACCTCACTGCTTAAATAATTCAAAGCAAACGTAATAGATGCACCTTCTAATGCTATCGTCACCGAGCTAATTATCAACCACATCTGCCTCTGTACCTTCTTAGACTGTTGAGGAAGATAAGCATCCGCTTGAACCAAAACAGCCAAGTCCTGATTATATAAATTACTCTCAATCATGTTTAGGAAATTTAAATAATTGGCTTAAGTCAAAGGGTGAAGAGTACGTAGATTTTCAAAAGCTTGTCAATAAAAGACCTATTTAGTGCAGCAGTTGGACAAAGTAAAAAAGGGTGTTAAAAGTTCGTGCAAGTGTTGATGATAGTGAAACAAGTTCAGTTTCAAGTTGGTATGAAAAATCAGTACAGTATGATGAATTTGTTTATCAATTACAAGAAAATATTAAATCAAGTCAAAGCAAAGCTGATCACATTCATGCTTTGAGTGTCCTGCCTAGAAGTCTTTCTGTTGAAGAAATAAAGACAAAGTTTCCTCCAGTTTCAAATAGACTTGCAAGAAGGACCCAGGAACTCCTTGATAAAAAAGGTAATTTATGTACGCCTAACAAGAAAATAGGGAGGCCAATAGGTACAGAGACTGTTCACTAGGAACTGATTTTTATTTAAGACAAGATGTGTCTAAAGAGAAGGTTAGCAAAAATCAAGTAATTAGTGTTAAAAGGAGTGGCCAAGGGAGTGACGGTGAGAGGGTGAGAAAACAGAAGAGGCTGATTCTAGATAATATTGTGCATTTGCATCAAGAGTTCAAGAGGGAATTTCCCAATTGTGAAATATCTCTTCCCAAATTTGCACAACTTCACCCCAAGGAGTGTGTACTTGTGCCTTCTTGTGGAGTGCATAATGTGTGTGTGTGTGTGTTCCCCATGAGAACTAATGTTCCACGGTGCAGGTTTGAGAACCCCTTTTCAAAAAATCAACTGATTGCTTAAAAAAATTAATGTGCTCTCCACCTTCGGTTAGTTGTAATCTGAGAACATGTAAGGAGTGCTGTGGTAAAAGTAGTGAACTTCGTGACCAATTATTGCCCTTATGTGATCAAAGTTTTATTGAGGATGTGACATTTAACCATTGGAAGTCGACTGACCGAGCCAACTTACTGACAATCACCTGTTCTGTTGAAGAATTCGTTGAGCGCTTCATTAACCAGTTACAAAAACTAATCCCGCATCACTTCATTTTTAAAACCCAAGCTGAATATTTCCGATTACTGCAAGCAAATCTAGATAAAGAAGAAAATCTAGTGGTTGGTGATTTTGCAGAAAATTACTCCTTTGATGTTCAAGATAAGGTCTATGCTTACTATTTTGGTCCCAAAAAAACAATGCACAATCCACCCATTTAGTGTTTATTTTAAGGGCTTTGAAACTGATGAAAAGAAGCAATAATCATTTGCTGTCATTTGCTGTCACGTGAATTTGACTATCTCATCCACGATTTACCGACGTGTTCGTGTTGATCACGTCGATTCAACGTGACGTCGACATAAATGTCTCCACGTACAACCGTGCTACATGCAGATCTGAATCTCATACGGTGTCTTCTTTTCTTCGTGCGCAACGAAACTCTCCATGCATGGTATCGTGGCGGAATTTTTTGAAAGGTGTTCTGTCAAGAACACCATCTGAGTATTCTTCAATGAAGATGACGAATGAAAAGCGTGTGCTCTGTCACATGATAAATGTCTAGCAGTTTCGTTGGCGCTGTTTTAAAATGAGAAGCAAAGCTACATGTGAGACCAACTGGTACGAGCAACTAAATCAAGTGTTTCGAGGCAATCGACGTGAGATCAACGTGGAATCGACGTGTACACGACAGACGAACTGATACACGTCGATTCGACGTAGATTCCACGTCGAATTGACAGTATACTGGAATATGGCGTTCAGAACACTAAAAATCCCATTTAGTGAGAAATGTTGATGCGAAAATGGTTCCATCTTATTTTATTTGCAACTTTTTAGAAAGGTAAATAGTGGTGGATGTCTGGTGGATGTATTCACCACCACGAAAGGTCCACGAAACCACTTCGACGCATCCGTGCAACACTGGCGAATCTGTTTAGGACGGACAAACAAGGGCGAATCTGAGAAGGACGGACGAACAAGGGCGAATCTGTTTAGGACGGACGAACAAAGGCGAATTTGCTTTTTCAGAATTCCCGCAGACCTATCTTTTGAACGCTTCTTGCTCTTCGATGGATCACTTCAGTTGAGGTCGTATTCTTTTGAAGGCTCAATGACGGGTGCAATGATGCTTCGTTCAAAGTGATCTGACGCCAAATCGAGGAGTGAGAGATAGATCTCCAGAAATTCTGAAAAAGCACATTCGCCTTTGTTCGTCCGTCCTTAGCAGACTCGCCCTTGTTAGTCCGTCCTTCACAGATTCGCCCTTGTTCGTCCGTTGTAAACAGATTCGTCAGTGTTGAACGGATGCGTCGACTTGGAATCCACGTCTTTTCCACGACCTATTTCTCTCTGTGGATATAAAGGTTTGAACGCAAGCTGTGACCTCGCTCGTTTCTGATTTGATCACTTAGGTATAAGCACCCTCCTGTGTTTCCCAGGAAAATGTCATGGGTTTCCTAGTAGGTCTCCTGGGAAAACCAGGAAACCCCTGGGAAACCAATTCACCTGGGAATCCCAGGGCTCGGTTGTACTGTGCGAGCACTGCTGAAAACAGTTTCGCCAGCCGGCGGCTTGCTAAGAAAGACTCAGTTGATGCAGTTTTCTAAGCGTTTGAGTCTTTGTCAGTAGCCTCCCGCCGGCCAACCCGTTTTCAGAAGCGGTCGGTCGGCCAAGCCTTTCTGTGAGGAAGGTATCGCTTCCCTATACTTTATACCTATACTTATACCTATACTTTCCTTGCGGTTCGCGTGGAGCAGTTCACTGAAAGTAAGAATCTGTCTCTGAATTTCCTGCATGGAATAATTTGGGATGACTTAAGTTTGTCTCGGAAAACGGTCCACGACCTCTGGGGAGTATGAGAGGTCTTTAACCGTTCAAAGGTAAAGGATAGGCCAGCAGTGTAAAAAATTTGTTTTTCAATCGAAACCGTCCTGGTCGTTGCTACAAGACAGCGCGGCACAGTAGGAAAGGGAGGGGGGCGGGGGGGAAGGACAGCGTCATGGTTCATCACAACCTGTTCCCCTTGATCCGCGTCTGGCTTACAGTGAACACCTTGCTCTCTGAGTGGGGATCATCCATAAAGTACGTCCGCTCTTTTCACCCTCAACACCCCCTCCCCCCTTTTCAGACGTCCATTTTCAATTAGGCGTCCCCAAATAACAATATCAGTTTCTATATGTGATGGTAGTAAGGAAAATGTTTATCGGGAGGTGAATCATATTTCTACAGGTCTACTAGTGCACGGTAAAAACAATATCTCATTTTTCTTTTTCTTTTTTTTGGAAAAATGGAAACCTTTGAGAAACGCGCTCTAAATCTTTTACAATGATTTTTTTCGTATAATGCAAAAAAATTGGACGCAACCGTAATACACAGGAAATTTCCTTGTATAAAAAGTTTTCTTTGTATAACAATGAGTTTTCTTTGTATTACAAAGAAAATTTGTCTTTGTTTTACGGTTGCACAAAATTCTTTGTACTAAATACAAGAATTTTCTTTGTAAGGATTTAGGAGTGTGGTCTAACGAATACCGCTCATATTTCGACGAAGTCTCCTCAAAAACATGTGAGATTTTACCTCAGTTTTTCTGATTCCTCGTGGGAGTTTTCCTCAGATATAGGAGTTCAAAGTTTTCGCCCTTTTCCCTCAGCAAAAGGGACATAATTTTTAGCCCGCCCTTCTGCTTTGAAAAAGCTATTCAGCGGGCTTATGCAAACGACCTTGTGTGTGTCTGTATGTCTGTCTGTGTGTCTGTCTTTCTGTCTGTTCCACTAGAAGGAGATGTGCTAGAGACTTGAAATTTTCAGGGTATCTTAAGGTTCACTCCTAGAGAACGAAACGCCTACGGCAAATCCTGGCAACCACCCCTAAAGGGCTAAAAGGGGGTATCAAAGAAACTAAGGTAGGTCATAAAAGTCAGAATTTTTTTTTTTTTTTTATGATCTCCTAAGGGGTAACTCGTCAAAATAGAGCCCTATGGGCCGTTTTGCTCTATCTCTTACCGTTTGGGCGCTAGAGGGAGTTTCTATCACGAAAGTGGCCCAAAAATAAACATATTAATTTTAGAAAGCATAAGATGGTCTCCGAAGGGGTAACTTGCCCACAGTAGAGTCTTTCGGTCGAAAATTTCGTCCGCTTTGCTCTATCTTCTACCGTTTGGGCGCTAGAGGGAGTTTCTCTCACGAAAGTGGCCCAAAAATAAATTTATTAATTTCCGAAAATATTGGATGGTCTCCTCAGGGGTAACTTGTCAAAGTAGAGCCCTCCGGGCGAAAATTTCGTCCGTTTGGCTCTATCTCTAACCGTTTAGGTGCTAGAAGGTCTTGTTTGACGAAAATAAGTTAAAAATTGCTTTAGTGAACAATTAAATGTAAAAGAAGGCCCAAAACCGCAAAAGAGGTAAGAAACTCCCTCCCCCCAACCCAAAAAACGTTTCCTTAGCAGAAGGGTGGGTTGTAGTCGCGGTGTTTCACCGTTACATCCCTTTCTTGTTTCTACGGGGCAAATTTTAAGGACGACGGGCTTTGCGGGCCGAAGGCCCGTTACATCATTTGATTATGTTCTACAGCAAATCGCGTGACAGAAATGGTCGGGCCGCAGGCCCGACCATCGCCGCCGGCAGGCCAAGCAGGCCCGGCCCCTGCCGAACGGAGTTGCCGGCGCAGCGAAGCAAAGCTGGCAACTTCGTTTGGCGGAAGGGCGGGCCTGCTTGTTACAGTGTGCTCATGTCAGAGTGAGAAACCTGATGCTGGAGTTAAAGTGCATGAATCGTCTTATTTTGCATAGCTCTGTTCCGCGAAAGTGATAATATCCAAGGGACAAACAGACTCCTTTGCCCTCGGCACTGTGCCACTCATCTTATTGGTTTTCATAACCCAAGTAAGTGCTTGTGACAAGGAAGGTTTTGAATTTTTATTCGTTTTTATTGATCTCGAATAATTGCATTGTTCTTGGCAGTGTCTAGTCGGACAATCACTGGAGGATGCTAGTAGAGCTCTCCCGGACAGTTGTTACTTTGGCCCGTGGCTCCAAGAAACGTCCCCAAAGCGCAAAGGCCGCCTCCTCATCATGCTGCTCGCACATAGCCACGCCGTTCTGCGCGTCAGAGCTTTCGGGAAACTAAACAGGTATAATTGCACTACTGGAGAAGCAGGCACGACATAACTTCGGTCCCTTAAGAGATAGTATGACAGTGCCTAAAAGAGCGAACTTTTGGCCCTGTGGGTACCTCTCTTCTGCTAAGCTTTGGGTTGCAACAGAGTTGTGGGTGCGAGCTAGATTTTGGCTCGCGCTGGTTGGTTCGCGGCCGATTTTTCGGTAGCTCGCGCAGTTCTATGAGCCAGGCTGGCTCGCGCGAGGAGCCTGGCTCACGCCTCAAGCACTGGCTCGCAGAGCGGACCGAAAGGTGGGGATACAGAGAACGACGCGAGCCAGGTGCGAGCCAGCCAGCAGGCTCGGCGCTCGGCTCACAGTGCCCGCATGGTTGCATGGATGCACGGCGGAGTCGGAATCGGAGTCGCGACAGCCAGACTCGAGCGCTGGTCGAGGGGTCGACAACGACCACAAAAGGCAGCTTAGCTCATGTGTACACTGGAGTACAGCCGAAGCACAGTACACACGGAGTGCAGCTTGACTCAGCACTGTAAGTTTCTTACAAAGAAGTATTCTTCGTAACGTGCAAAGGTTTTAGAACCTGTGAAATACAAACAAATCCTTTGTACTACGAGTGGCTCAGCTTTGCACTATGAAGAGCGTCTGTTTAAAATCTGGTGCTCTTTGTAACACGAAGAAAATCAGTTTGTAAACATAGTGGTTTCAGATCATTTGAACGTTACAAACCCAATTCTTCGTAATATGAAGACCACTCTTCGTAAGGGACTTAATATGAGGGGTGATATAAAATCCACTGACGATTGGGGCGCAGTGATGTAAATAAGGTTTCCTACATGCAGGCACCCGGTCACCCGGTCGCCCGGCTCGGCACTGCGTGCCAGCGTTTGGGCAGGGGGCGGCAACGCGGCGCTTCGGAGTGACCCCATGCGGTAGCGAGGCCCGGCCCCCCACCACCGGCCTCGGCGCGCCGCGGCCGGAGCCTGGCGAGCCGCGCCTGACTGCAGCGCTTAAGTAAATTCAACCATGTTCTATCAAAACGTCTGAAAAACTATGACAACGAGTAATGAATCGAAAGGGGAGGAGTTAAGCTACATCCCAGTGTGCCTGCGAACTAGTTTCGGTCGTCCGAAGCGAGTTTAAAGATAGCCTGAAAACAGAGCAAGCTCGACGTGTCCCGGCTGGCCCGTGCACGCATCTTGTATTGTTAAAATTTCTCCGCTACGGATCAAATTTCTGCGTGCTCTGGTGAAAGTAGACTAAATTTGTGAGAGCACTGACTATAAGCGAGGCTGATCGGCCAACAAAGAAGGTTCGAAAACAGTGTTTGTTTTTTAGGATATGTTTTTGTTGCTACGATCACCATTCATGGGTTACCGCATGGGGTCACTCAGAAGCGCCTCGTTGCTACCCCCTGGTTTGGGTCGCACTCCGCGAGCCAGGGCCAGGCTCGCGCGGCAGTAGGCATATCGGAGCGGAGGTGGCGGTGGGTGGCGCCCAGGCGCGAGCCAGGGTTAGCTCGCGCAGGCTCCACAGCTCAGCGAGCTAAGGCTGGCCGGTAGCGGGCCAATCCTGAAGGGACACGAAGATTGCCGTAGGCACCTGGCTCACTGTGGCTCACACAAAACTGCGCCAGCCATCGCGAGCCAGAATCTGGCTCGTGCGTACAACTCTGGGTTGCAATAATGGAACCCTTTCACGCGCGTACTCAACCAAAGGACCATTCCACCGGCTCCGGCCAAAAACATCAGTGAAATAAACCCTGCGGAAACAGCTCCAAAAATAGTGTGTTGATCATCACGGAGTAAAATGGTTGTGGAGGAACGGCTTTGGACCGCGCCTGAACTACCTTCCGCGGGACGAGTTGTTGCCGCCGGCCGCAGGCGAGCGCTGTGGTCGCTATGGCTCTGCCCTCTGCCCGACCCATACAGCCAGAATGCCGGTCCGGCAAAGGTAGCCCGGCCGGTGCGCTGGCGCCGTCACGGGCAGCAGCAGGCGGCCCTTGCCTCCCCGCGCAGCTGTCCTCGGCTGTAGCTCGAAAACCGTTACAGATAGGTGGTCGAGCCGATTTTAGTACAGGTTTCAAGCCTTCCGACGCTGCTTATATTTTTGGGATACGACCCATACATTCCGATCGCCGGCCCGTCAAAGAAGAGCCGGGGCGGCAGGGGACGAGCCTGGTCCAGCCCAGCTTCGCAGATTCGGTTCGTTCCCACGATTCCTTCTGATCGGTTCCCACGGTTCCCACACCACGACACTCACACACTCACACCCCATGCGCCACACGTCTGCGGCTAGCCGGTGTCAGGAAATGCATGAACTTTTTTGAGGTAAGGTGAAATGAGTATATTTGCTGCTAGGTGAAGTACTTCTTCTTAAGAATCTGACTTCTTGGTTTGGTCTTTCTACCAATAAGTAATAGAAAGTACTCACAAGTACTTGTAAAATTTGAAAGTCAAACTTTTAACCTGACAAATGAGAAGTTCAATAGTAAAATTACTACATTAAATGACGAAAACATAATAAACTACTGATAAAAGTCACAACTATTAAAGACGTTGGATATATAGAACATTGATTAAAACACTATAAGTGTATAAAATACTATAGAAAATATCGACAGATCAGCACAATTTTCCTTGTTTCCTAAAGTCTTTCACTTTTACTGTATCTTCTTTCGTACGCTCATTCCACCTCCAAGTTGTAGGAGTCAGGGTAGAGAGTAGTAGTCTCTAGCTGTGCCTTAGGCGGGTTTGACAGAGGATCTTCTGGGGCATTAGTAAAATGAATCTCTTCAACCTCTCTTCCAGCTTTATGCAAAAACATGGCACGTTGCCGCCGAGACTCACTTATGCCCTAAATGTACATGTTTGTTTGTGCCAAATAAAGTGCTTTTTCGGTCCTGGCCGGGAAGGAATCACACCCTTAAGCATTCTACTCGGTTATTCATTCATCTCAAACTCAGAACATAGGTGCTGTCACACCGAAAATTAAAAGAAACTACAAGAACTAGAGCTACAGCCGTAAAAAAAAACAACAGACGACACGTGCGCGGGCCGCCCTAGCTGATCTTCACTGGGCCGGCGTTCAGACTGTATGAATCGTATCGCAAAAATGTCAACAGCGTCGTAAAGCTTGAACCTTCAACAATTAACATGAGCGAAGTAGGCGCACAATTTCTCCTAGTTCTAGTTTCGCACAGTGTGTCTCCAGTCCCATGGAACTCTCACGGCCAGCTCTGCGCACCTCTCACATGAGGGACACTAGGTCAGGCGGGCTCCCCTACCTAGAGAGACTCATAGGGAGAGAGCCGTCAACTCGGGGCCCCGCACGCTGCGCCGTGATTGGGTCGGCGCTGCTAGGCGCTGCGCTCGCTGGTTGGCCGGGCGGACGTGCCGAATGCACCCCGACGGTCGTTCGGACGACGTTCGGCAGCGCCGCCGGGCGCACTCCGGTGCAGCACTGCCTCGCATCTGTGTCGCCTGACCCTAGGGGGCTCGCCGGAGCCCGGCGGGCTCCGGAGGGTTCGCAACTCCCTGCCTCTGTGAGGCCAGATGTTAGGCTGGCCGACGGAGCCGCCCAGTGCCGACCCAATCACAGCGCAGCGTGCGGGGCCCCGAGTTGACGCCTCTCTCCCTATGAGTCTCTCTACCCCTACCGCTCGGCGGCCACGTCGTGATATAGAGCCACGGTCACGGTTCCCAGCGCCCAGTCCTACCGACGGACCTAGGGCGGCTCCCGGGGAGAACCCGAGCGGTCCTTCGGGATGGCCCGCGGGTCGAGGGGACGTCCATCTCGAGTCGCGAGCGGGACTTGGACTTACCCAAAGGACTCTTAGGAAAAGCTTACGATTTTATTTCTGTGTCTAAGTTGTTCATTTTCTGCCAAGTTCGGATTCTTTTTATTGACAAGTTAGCAAACAAATCCTGCGGCAAAATATGCCAAACAGGGTCGCTCGGCACTTAGCAGAATCAACCAAATGCGAGAAAATATTTTCCAAGTTTTAAACTAATTTTTACACTTTGTGCTGAGTGTCGCCATGTTTTGGCCCTGACTTTAAGTTTAATCAAAATTGGTGAACAATATTTCTTCACGATGGGAGCGATGACGTTGTAAAGTAAAAAAAAGGTTCGCGCGGCGGGTTTCGAACATGAGACGTTCCGCTTCGTAGCCGAGTGCAGGACCCCTTTTTTTTTTTTTTTTTTTTTTCAAACACATTGCCACGGAGGCGGCTGTTCAGATCGCACCTGACAACTCTAGTTCAGTGACTTACAAGGGAACCTTTTCAGGTGTAAATCTTCGATTTCGTTGAAACTTAGAAAATTTGAAGGTTATTTATGTAGAAATCGGATGGTGCTTGAAATTTTTCCTGAACCTCTCACAATTAGTTTTCCCCTATATAGGGGTGGGAGTACGGTTTTTATGCATGGTTTTTATGATATTTTTTGTAAAATGTTAGGCAGTGTTCTAAGTGGTAACTCATCAAAGTAGCGCACTTTGGACCAAAATTTTGTCCGTTTTGCTCTATTTTGTACCGTTAAGGCGGTAGAGGGATATTTGGGACAAAAAGCAGTGTAAGGCTTAAGTAAACCCCCAGTAACTGTGAGGTTCAGGAAAAATTTCAAGTGCCATCCGACTTCTAGTACAAAAACCTTTAAATTTTCCGAGTTTCAACGAAATCGGAGATTTACACCTGAAAAGGTTCCCTTGTTAGCCCTCCAAGAGTCCCCGTTGTTTAACCCAAGCCTACCCCCTCCCCCCACCCGGCTCGGCCTTGGGCCCGGGGGGTTCCCGAGCTCCTGTCGGTAGGACCGCGCTCTACGGCGGCCGTCCCCCCTCCACCTCATCTGGCCGCTCGGCTCGCGCTCGGGTCAAGCTCGGAGCGGTCTGCTCGCGACACACGACCAACCTCTAAAATAAACAAGAGATACTCAAAACGTATAAAGCCATGTTCAAATGCGATAACATTGTGCATGGTGTATTTTTAAATTAACCAGAAAATTTTGTTATGTAATAT